TGTTGTCTGAGACATGGTCTCACATAACCTAGACTAACTTAGAGATGCCATAGTTTTTGGCAGTTGTTGTTTCAGGAATACATCCTGTCCTTTTTTTTTTTTTTTTTCTTTCATATTTTTCTCTTTATATGCTTTATGATTTCTTTATATAGATATATTAAATCTAATAATGTAATAACACGCCCCTTCCCCCAGATGTTTTGTTGTTCTTGTTGTTGTTGTTGTTGGGTTTTGTTTGTTTGAAATAGCGTCTCATGTAGCCCAAGCTGGCCTTGAATGTGCTATGTAGTCAAGAATGATCCTGAACTTCAGATCTGCTTGTCTCTTAAGTGCTAGAATTACTGGTGTAAGCCATCAGACCTGGCCCTTTTGTTGATTTAATATTTTTTAGACTATTTTAAGTGTGTTTTGGCTGTGTGTATGTATGGGTACCATGTGTATACATGGTGCCCAGAGGCCAGAAAGAGAACCCTGGAACTGGAGTTCATATGGTTTGTGAGCCACATGGGAGTGCTGGGAGTGGAATCTGGGTCCTTTCCAAGAACAAGTGCTCTTGCTGGGCAGTGGTGGCGCACGCCTTTAATCCCAGCACTTGGGAGGCAGAGGCAGGTAGAGCCAGGACAGCCCAGGCTATACAGAGAAACTCTGTCTTGAAAAACCAAAAAACAAACAAACAAAGAACAAGTGCTCTTAACCACTGAACCATCTCTCCAGCCCATGCCTAGCCTTTTGTATTATTTCTGCAATGCTTCTATATATCTAACATTATTTCACAGTACAAAATATTAAATATTATATATAAGCATAATAAAACATTTAGAAAGCTATGGGCTAAGTCACCAACAGGAAGTAGAATTATGGATTCTGGATTATGAAAACAATCAAATTCTTGGCTAGGCAGTGATGGAATACACCTTTATTCCTAGAATTTGGGAGACAAATGTAGGCAGATTTCTATGAGTTCAAGGCCAACCTGGTCTATGGAGCAAGTTCCAGGACAGCTAAGACTACACAGAAAAAAACCTGTCTTGAAAAAACAAAAGCAAAAAAGAAGGAAAAAAAAAAGTCCCTGTAGAAGATCTTGAAAATGATCTTGATCAGTCATTAGGGTATCAAGAAATGCCTCAGTGGTTAAAAGCACTGGCTGCTCTTCCAGAGGACTGAGGTTCAAATCCAAGCAACCACATGGTAGCTCACAAGTGTCTGTGACTCCAGTTCCAGGGGATCTGACACTCTCACACAGACATACATGCAGTCAAAACACCAATGCATATAAAATGAAAATAATCATTAAAAAAAAAAAGAAAATCAGTCATTAATAAAGCCACTGTCCAGGAATAACTATCACTATCACTCTGGCTCACTGAGACAAATACATGAACAATTACAAAAACCTGAGTCACTTGTTCCAAGATGTGTGCAGGGTGTTAAACAGTATGGGATGGGTGGCCCACGAACTAACATGTATTAACTTTTATTCTGGGGTTTGGTTTTGTTTGCTAGGTATGGTCTCACCATGTAGTCCTAACTCACTTATTCTCTGACCTCTGCCTCCCAAGTACTTAAATTACAAAGAGTAAGCTGACTTTTAATAATGTTTTTATTTATCCTTTGAGAATTTTATACACTGTATTTTGATCATATTCTTTACCCTCCCCCACCCCACCTACCTACATACACATCCAGCTGCATGGTCTTTTTCTTTAAAACCACAAATACAAGAAGTCCATTTGTATTGAATGAGTACTCCTGGAATTTGGTTGATGCCCCAACTCCATTGAAGGAGACTGATTTTCCCTCTGCCGGCAGCCTTCACTTGCAAATGGCTTCTTGGCTAGGGTGGGTGGGATTTTGTGTCCACTTGCCTTTCTCAGTGCTAGGATGGCCTGACTTGAGCTTGTGCAGGTCTTCTCCATGCTGTCAGTCTGTAAGTCCATACATACATCTGCTCTAGGTGTCTGAAAAAAGCTCTTTCCTTCAAGCTATCCATCACTTCCGGCTCTAACATGCTCTAACAAACCTTCTGCTCCCTCATCTACACAGATCTCCTGCGGAGAAGGCTGTGATGTGGGCTGAGTGTTCCAAAATCTGTTCTCTGCAAGGTGACCAATGTTGTGTGTGTTGTTAGCGGGTAGTTGTCTTTTGCATGCCTGATTTTTTTGGAGACAAGATCTCACTACACAGCACTGGCCGATGCTATATAGACCAGGCTGTCCTCAAACTCACAGAGATCTGCTTCTACCTCCTCAGTGCTAGGACTAGAGGTGTGCACCATCCTGGCTGCCTCTGTCAGGTTTTTTGAGACAAGGACTCACTTGCAACTCACGGTGGCCTGAAATAACAGCAATCCTTTTGTCTCAGCCCCCAAAGAGCTGGGATTACAGGCACAAGACATCAACCCCAATTACATTACATGTTGGCCCCCAACTCACGATATTCCTGTCTCAGCTTCCAAAGCAGCTAGAGTACAAAAGAGAGTGACTGCACCCAACTGGAAATGTGCACCCCGCTGGGCTGTGAAAACAGGACTCCAGAAGGAAAGGCTTCACTTAAGCCATCTAAGAGATGTTCCAACTAGTTTTGGAAGATTACTCAAGAAAAACAAAGGAAGGCAGGCGGATTTCTGAGTTCGAGAGTTCGAGGCCAGCCTGATCTACAGAGTGAGTTCCAGGACAGCCAGGGCTACACAGAGAAACCCTGTCTCGAAAAACCAAACAAACAAAAAAAAAAAAAAAAAAGAAAAGAAAGAAAAAGAAAAAAAGAAAAACAGAAAAACAAAGGAAGCTTTCCACATGAAAGTAGGCCACGGGGCTGGAAATAGTGGTCTAGAGCACTTGTTCTTGAAAAGGACACAGGACTACATGTTGGCTCACAACCATCTCCAGTTCCAGGAAATCCAACCCCTCTTCTGGCCTCTTCAAATCTCTATGGATACATACATACATACAAATATACACATACAAACACACAAATATTCATACATATAAAATAAAATGAATCTAAAAAAAGAAAAGGCCAAGATTCAATGATATAGAAGAGCTGGAGAGTTGGCTCAGTGGCTAAGAGTGCTGTCCTGAGTTCACTTTCCAGCAGCCACGATGGTGGCTCACAACCACCTGTAATGGGATCCAATGCCCTCTTCTGGTGTGTCTGAAGATAGCCACAGTGTACTCATATACATGAAATAAATAAATAGATCTTTTTTTTAATGTAGAAGGTGCAAGATGTGTGGATCTCTGTGAGCTGAATGAAGGCCAGCCTGGTCTACAAAGTGAGTTCCAGGATAGCCAAGGCTACAGAGAAACCCTGTCTTGAAAGATCTGCCTGCCTCTGCCTCTAGAGTGATGGGATGAAAGGTATGAAGCACCACCAGCATAGCATAACTAAAGTTAAGGAAGTAAAGCTCACAGACAGCAGATCCTGAGGGATCACAGAGAGCCCTGAATGTATCCCCACAGGTCACACGGCCTCCTTGTGGAGTTTTGGAAAAGGGTGAAGTTTGGTAGGGCTTATATTTTAGAGGACAGTTCATGAAGTGTGTTTAGGACAAATTAGGGGAATAGGTGAATGGAATATAGGAATCTGGCTGGGAATTCATTTAAGTCTCCAATTCATTGCTTTTGTTTTGGGCAGGGTCTGTATGCATGTGGTACAGGAACATGACAGAGGCCAGAGTAGAATGCCAGATGTAACCTGCTACTCTGTGCCTTACTGTCTTTGACGCAAGGTCTCTCACTTAACTGGAAGCTCTCTGTCTATGCTAAGCTGGGATCCTATCATCCCATCTACCCAGTGCTGGGGTTAGAGACATGCACAGCCAAGCTCCACTTTTTACATGGGTGTTCGTGAACTCAGGTCCTCATGCCTGCACCACAAACAGTCTTATTTACTACCTCTTCAACTCCTCTTTGTTTAAATTTTCCTTTGGGGGAATGTTTTTAAGACATAGTCTTAGCCGGGCGGTGGTGGCGCACGCCTTTTCATCCCAGCACTTGGGAGGCAAAGGCAGGTGGATTTCTGAGTTCAAGGCCAGCCTGGTCTACAGAGTGAGTTCCAGGACAGCCAGAGCTACACAGAGAAACCCTGTCTCAAAAAACAAAACAAAACAAACAAAAAAAAAAACCAACCAACCAACCAACCAAACAAAAAGACATAGTCTTACTCTGCAAGCCAGGCTGGCCTCAAACTCACTATGTATCCCAGTCTGTTGTTGGAACACCTTTGGTCCAGAGCAACTGCATTGGCATATCCTATTAAGTATATCTGTTTGGAAAAAAAAAAAAAAAAATATTTATATAATAGCTATAGATAAACACAGAATTTTTTTTTTAAAATACATATATATATACTATCACTCACAGATGTATCACACTGTAGTCCAGATTCTTTACTGTATGAGATATGCTGATACTTTGTATTTTATCGTATTCTATTTCATTTTCAAGATGTTGGTTACAATCTATTACACCGATTTTGTGACATACTACTAAGTTCGTTACTACTTGGTCTTAAACACCTCGGATGTCTTGGGGAAAGGGAAGTAGAGTTTAGCTTGGGGTGTGCACTTTCAGGCTGAGTCTCAATAGCGGCAGTGCATTGAAATCAACTAAGTACTACTGAAACTGCAGCTCTCCAGACATGTAGATACATTTGTGCTCAGCACCTTCGCGTATTGAGAAATATCTCTAACACTTCTGCCCAAAAAGCATATAAAAGCGAATGTATACTTACAGAGCTGACAACCACTAAGCTCGGGAGTTAAGTGACAGCCTGGGGAGGAGCCCAGGTAGGGGCAGAGAGCATTGCGTGTGGTACCTGCGGTGTCAGGCACGTCCTGGTGCCTAGGCCCTCGCCTAGCAGAAACCAGAGCCACAGGGCCGAGTGACGGTGGCTGAGTAACTGACTGAGAGCGACAAGGTTCTCAGACCCAGGACTGCAGCGCGCACAAGCTACCCACAGTGCACCGTGGCGCGCACGCGTAAATCGCCGCTCCCGGCGTGCAGCGCTGCGGCCCAGGCGGCCGCCCTAGGCTGCCCCACGGGGCCGGGGGGCCCGAGCAACGGGAGCATGGCTCTGAAACGGATCCAGAAGGTAAGAGTGTCGGAAACGGGGTCCTCCCGCCGGTCCACTCCGCGGGCTGCCACAGCGAATAGAAGCCCGCGGCTGAGGTGCGGCAGGGGCGTTGACACCTGCCCCGCGCGAGGCGGAACCGCCCCCGGCACAGACTTAGGAGGTGGATGCGTGCGCCGAGCGGGCGGCTCGCGGGGGCGGAGTCACGCGACCGTGTCACGTGCGCGCGCAGCTGCGGGCGGGCTGGCGTGTAAGGAAGCAGTGGGACTGTCTCACAGGGTGCCTAACAAGAGAGGATGAGCTGCGGTAGTATTTCCTCCTGTAGGCAACAGTTTTGTATTAGTCCATTAACTAGAGTCTGGTAACTGCATCGTAGAAAAAGAAAATAGAACCAGTTCTGTTCTGCTGTTCCCCCAATCCACCCTATTTGTTAACGTTTTAGCCTATCTACTTTTCGTCCCTTTCCTTATTCTATGTTTCTATGTTGTTTTTTGTTTGTTTCGTTTTGGTTTGATTTGGTTTTTATTGTTTTTGTTTTTTAATATTTATTTATTTATTTTATTGATGAGTACACTGTAGCTGTCTTCAGACATACCAGAAGAGGGCATCCAATCTCATTACGAATGGTTGTGAGCCACCATGTGGTTGCTGGGATTTGAACTCAGGACCTCTGGAAGAGCAGTCAGTGCTCTTAACCGCTGAGCCATCTCTCCAGCCCCCGGTTTTTATTGTTTTGCTTTGGCTTTTTTTTTTTTTTTTTTTTTTTTTTTTTTTTTTGAGACATGGTCTCTATGTAGTCCTGACTGACCTGGAACTAGCTATGTAGACAAGGCCAACCTCGAACTCAGAGATTCACCTGCCTCTCCCTCCCGAGGGTCGTGCACCACCATACCCTGCATTATACTGTAATTTATGATGTTTTCACATAGCATTAAAAGTTCAGATTTTCTGTACTGCAAAATAGTATTTATAGCCTCTTTAAAAAAAAAGATTTGCTTATTTTTAATGTGTGTGTATGGGTTTTTGCCTACATATATGTTAAGTGGCCCTGTAGGCCAAAAGAGGGCATCTGTTGCTCAGAAACTGCTTACTTACATGTGGTTGTAAGGTGCCCCATGTAGGTGCCAAGAATCATACTCAGGAGCTCTGGAAGAGCAGCCCATGCCCTTTATTCACTGAGACCCTTAACCTCTCCAGCCCTATAACACTAACTTTTAGCATTAGCATGGTTCTTTCCACGGAGTGGATCCAGGGTATGTGTCTCAATCAGATTTCAGTTGCTGTGATAAACACCATAACCAGAAGCAACTTGGGGAGGAAAGGGTTTGTTTGCCTCACAGCTTATGTAGTCCTTCATCAGAGGAAGCCAGAGCAGGAACCTAGAAGCAGAAACTGAAGAAGAGGCCATGGAGCAGTGCTGCATACCGCTGTGTGCCAGTTTGCTTTATTATATACTGCAGGGCCATGTACCCAGACTCACAGTGGGCTGGGCCCTTCTACATCAGTCGTCAATCAAGTAATTGTCCCCCAGATTGGTCTACAGGACAGTCTGGTGGAGGGATTTGCTTGGTGAAGCTACCTCTTCCCAAATGACCCTAGCTTGTGTCAACTTAACAAAAAACTAACCAAGTCGATCGACCCCTTATCAATTTAATATACCAATACATTATTATTAAACCATACTCTTTAATTATTTAATTTATCCCCAAAATCTCATAATAAATCACAATACAAAACACATTGCAAATTTTAAATAATGTGCTTGGTGTTTTTTTTTAAGTTCCTTTATGTGTATTGGTATTTTCTCTGCATGTATGACTGTGCATCATATGCATGCTTGGTACTCCATGGAAGCCAGAAGAGGGTGTCAGATCCTCTTGGTCTAGAGTCTTAGATGTTTGTGAGTCACCATATAGGTGTTGGGAGCAAGTGCTCTAACCACCGAGCAATCTCTTTAGTTCTCATTCTAACTTTATAAAGTCCTTGGGGTTCAGCAGTGGTTTTAGGGGCTGCAGTCATGGTTGAGGCCTCAGGTTCATGGAGGTAAAGCTGAAGACAAGGAGTGGATCCCCATCACCAATCTGGGCCACCTGGTTAAGGACATTAAGATCAAGTCCTTGGAGGAGATCTACCTGTTCTCCCTGCCTTTTAAGGAGTCTGAGATTATTGACTTTTTCCTGGGTGCATCCCTGAAGGATGAGGTTCTGAAAATCATGCCAGTGCAGAAGCAGACTCCGGCTGGCCAGCAGACCAGGATTAAGGCTTTCATCGCTATTGGGGACTACAATGGTCACATTGGTCTTGGTGTTAAGTGCTCCAAGGAAGTTGCCATTGCCATCCAAGGAGCCATCATCTTGGCCAAGCTCTCCACCGTCCCTGTACGGAGAGGCTGCTTGGGGAACAAGATTGGCAAGCCCCACACTGTTCCATGCAAGGTGACAGGCCGCTGTGGCTCTGCTGGTGCGACTCATCCCTGCCTCCAGAGATGCCGGCATTGTCTCTGCTCCTGTGCCCAAGAAGCTACTGATGATGGCCAGTATAAATGACTGCTGCACTTCAGCCAGGGGCTACATTGCCACCCTGGGCACTTTGCCAAGGCCACCTTTGATGCCATCTCCAAGACCTATAGCTACCTGATCCCTGACCTCTGGAAAGAGACTGTGTTCACCAAGTCTCCTCAGGAATTCACTGATCATCTTGTGAAGACCCACACCAGAGCCTCTGTTTCGAGGACCCAGGCTCCAGCTGTGGCCACCACATAAGGGTTTTTATACAAGAAAAATAAATGAATTAAGTCTGAAAAAAAAGAGGCTAATTTATTACACCCTTCTCTTTTGTATGGCTTTAGGATAATCCCCCCTTCTGAAGTGTGGTTTCTTAGCCAGACAGTTAAGCAGCCCAGCTGGGGCTAGTCAGATGGCTCAGTGGTTAAGAGTACCAACTGCTCTTCCAGAGGTCCTGAGTTCAATTCCCAGCAACTACATGGTGGCTCACAACCATCTGTAATGGGATCTGATACATTCTTCTGGTGTGTCTAAAGACAGCTACAGTGTACTCACATACATAAAATGAATAAATAAAAATCTTTCAAAAAAAAATCAGCCCAGCTAAATTAACTCTTACGTTTTGGGTAGCTTGGAATTGTTGGTCTCCATCCAAACCAGATGTAGAATCCATTGCCATGATCAGGAGGAGATAGCTTTCTCTTAAGGGGCATCCAATGCCACTATAACATTCACCCCTCTGAAGAGGTAATCCTAAAACCTTTCAAGAGATAAGTAAGATTAGGGAATAGATAAAATCTATTCCTATCAAGAAAAACTAGGATGGATTAATGTCTGAATTGGAGTCTCACACTGTCCAAGCAAGGGTGCTTATTCAGGAGAAGGTAAGAAGAAACCAAAGCTCCTAACTGGCGTTCATAGCCAAAGAGCCAAGGCCATTCCTAGAAGTGCTGCTTTTGGCATTCATGACCCTAAACTGTCAGTTAATCTTTATCTCCTGTTCCCATCATCTTCACTGATGAAGAATTAACCCCTGTAGCTGCTTGTATTACAAATGCTAATTATGTTCCCCAAAAAACTGTATGAGCGTGAATACACATAGCTTCTGGGAACCTGCTCCCAGTTTGTTCTGACTGGTAAATAAGATGCCAACAGCCAATAACTGGGAAGGGAGACAGAGGTGGGATTTTGTGGGACTGCATAATGGTATCCTGGGTCATGGTTGAGCAGGTACTTAGAACCCCGAGATTCTCCGTGGAATTCTGCGTGAGAACCGGCAGGAGTTCAGTCCCTCCCATCATCTAGGATCCTGAAAACAGTCACATTTCCATAGAGTCACATAGGCCAGGCTATAGGCCTCAGGCCCTAGAGATTTGCATACTAATGAAGGCCAGAGGGCAGAGCAAATTAAACATTCCTCCCCCATATCCTCCCCCAATCCTCCCCGTCTCTCCCTCCCTATATAACTCGGGACTGCCCTGAGTTTTTGGGGGGGATACGCCTAGATCCATCTATTATCCGTCATGACAATAAATCTTTTTGGAACCAAGGACTTCCTCGTGTTACTGGGGCCTGCCGCTGCCAAGGCCCTCAGGCCGCTGGAACCATAAGAATCCTCCTCCCTGATGTGGGACCCGCCACGGCGGCGGGCTTGTGCCGCTGTGGCGGCCTTTTTAAATTTTCCCGACAGGATTTGAGTATTTGAGGGCTTGGGTTGGGGCTAGAAGGAGAGAGAGAGAGAGAGAGAGAGAGAGAGAGAGAGAGAGAGAGAGAGAACGCAAAAGGAGAACTGCTATCCAGGAGAGTGTGGAGGAGAGGAGGTGGAGGAGAGGAGAGATGCCCTGTCTGAGAAGCGCGCAGGACAGAGAGGCATAGCCACCATTGAAAGAGCTGAGAGAGCATGGCCCAGACCACTGCTCAACTGGGTCCAGGGCAGCCAAGACAGAACATAGAATTAGTAAGTAGTAAATCAGGATTAACTGCATGGAGGTTAGGCAGTGGCACAGCTATTGTGTTGTTGAAGGCATATTAAAATATAAAGGCTAAGTGTGTGTCTTTTATTCAGGAACCTAAACCATTGGGGAGGGTAGAGAACCCACTGCCAAGATTTCATAATATTTATTTCAACAAACCTCAGCTATCATTTCAGAACTGGGATGACTATCTGACTTCTTTGAACTCACTGGGGTCATCAGATATGGAAGTTGGATTACTCTTCCAGTGGACTCGTCTAAGGAACCCTGATATTGCATTGATGGTCCCATTTGTACAGCAGCCTGGTGTAGTGAGGAAGGAAGTACCTGGAAAGAAACATCAGGGAAAAGTGAAATTGGAGCCCTTTGAGCAGGGAAAATGATTCCATTCCCCAAGAACTGGCATGAGCTAGTATAAAAGTGTAAGTCCTAGACAGACAACCAAGAAGACAGACCAGGTCATTTTAAAGTGTCCAAATCAAAGTATAGTAGGATCCCTTGATAGGCTCATTCATTAGGAATTAATGAATGATAAGAACATTCGGGCTGGTGAGATGGCTCAGCAATTAAGAGCACTGACTGCTCTTCTAGAGGTCATGAGTTCAAATCCCAGCAACCACATGGTGGTTCACAACCATCTGCAGTGAGATCTGATGCCCTCATATGGGTGTCTGGAGACAGCTATAGTGTACTTACATATAATAAATAAATAATAAAAAAATAAAAAAAAAGAACATTCATTCATTAGGTTCTTCCTCAGGTGTTTTTTCTGTTTGTCTCTAAAGCTTGACTCCACCATGATGATACCAGGACATGCTTCTAGGCAGTTTGATAGCTGTTGGACTAGCTAGGCTCATAGTGTGAGATCCCGCTTAGATGGTGTATTAGTCAGGGTTCTCTAAAGAAACAGAACTGATAGAATAGGAGACTATGCATGGGATTTATTAGAGTGGCTTGCAGGCTGTGATGAAGCTAGCCCAACAATGACTCTCTCTCTATGGAAAGGTGAAGAATTTGGTAGTTGTTTCAGTCACCAGGCTGGATGTCTCACCTGGTCTTCAGTGTTCTTGGAATTCCAAAGAAGCAGGTTCTAATACCAGCAAAGGAGTGCAGAATAGATGAACTTGCCAGCAAGAGTGAAAGCAAGCAAGCAAATAGCAAAAGCTACCTTCTTCCATATTCTTTTTTGTGGGCTGCCACCAGAAGGTGTGGCCCAGACTTAGGGTGGGCCTTCCAACTTCAAATGGTTCAATCAAGAAAGTCTCTCACAGCTGCTTGCATTTAATTGATTCTAGATTTAGTCTAGTTGACAGTCAAGATTGTCCATCACAAATGGCTTCACAAGTTATAACCAGGTTCCCCCAAAGATCTCATTTTGATCTTCATTTGGTTCCTAGGTACAAACTGTTACCTCAAATGCTATAATTATTTTTATTTTGTTCGTTTGTGTGTGTGTGTGTGTGACATGTGTAAGGATGCCCTTGGAGGCAAGAAGGGGGTGTTGGATCACTTGGAGCTGAAGTTACAGTGGTTGTAAGCTCCTTGAAGTGGGTGCTGAGAACAGAGCTCTGTCTGCTGAAAGAGCAGCAAGTGCTTTTAACTGCTGAGCATCTCTAGTCTGTCACCATGAACTCTTGGCCATCTTGTATCCACCTCTGTAAGTAGCCTCCTGCATGACCTTCTTTCCAAACATCTCTTAAGGGCTTTTGCCAGATTAATCATGGCCAGAGGACCAGTGTATACAGGCAGCTTCCTAGGCATAGAGCAACCTAACTCCTGTCTCGTGTTCTAGGAACTGACCGACTTACAAAGGGATCCTCCTGCTCAGTGTTCCGCAGGACCTGTGGGTGATGACTGTAAGTATTTTTCCAGATTTCAGAAGGCTTGCAACCCAAACCTCCTGTGTCATCGGGGACCGACCTCATTCAAGCTCTCCCCACTGAGCAGTTCTTAAGATGTCCAATTGTTTACGTGCTTATGAATCCTTTATGTGCTTATGAGTTGCTGTTTGTTTGTTTGTTTGTTTGTTGCTGTTTTAATACAAGTCTTGTTTGGGAGTTGAGGCTAGCCTGAACATACAATGTAGCCCAGGTTGGCCTCAAACTTGTAATCTTCCTATCTTATTCTCCAGATTGCTAGAATTATAAATGTGTGCCACCTTGCCCAGTGTAGATTGCTTTTTCTTTCTCTCTTTCTTTTGGTTTGTTTTGTGTTGTGTTTAAGGCTTAAGGATCATATTTCACTTTATTAGAATTTGAGAACAACAACAGAAGGGCAAGCTGTGAATTTAGATGGAGAAGAGGAGAAATAGTTCAAGGAAGCAGGCGTATTCAGTACCGGGGCTTCAACTCTGAAGTTGGGAACTGAGCTCTTCAGAGAGAGAGTGAGAAGGTCTAGACAGGAGGCCACTGGGACATGCTCAGGACTTTGGCTAGTACCCAGAAAGATAGAAAGGGGCAAGTTTTAGAACTCAGTAAAGTGGGCAGACTTAGTGAAGATCTGGAATTGTTTTCTCAGTGGGGATCATCAGCTCATAGCAGTGTGACTGGTCAGGTTACATTCCAAATGCAGCCTGCACCACCAGAAATCATTCTTTCTCCACTGAGTCATAAGGAAGACAGCTTGTCCCAGACCAGACACAGGACACGAGTGCAAGTGGTACACAGCTAGTTGAAGAGGGAATCATGCCGGCAGGAGGACCAGCAAGGGCCACAGGAGCTGCCGTATGCCTCTGCCAAGAGGAGACAGCACAAGTGACTGTCGTTTCCTCCTACATGCTTCTCCACAGAGACACTAGAAAAGTAGCTCTGCCAGCCCTCTGCCACCCTCACAGCAGGCTGTGTGAGTGCGCGCGCGCATGTGCATGTGCGTGTGTGCGTGCATTCACACACATGTCCATACTCAAACAAATGTGGAAGCCAGAGATTGTTCCCACTTTAGTTTTTAATTATTTTACATGCATTTTATTATTTTATCTACATATATGTCTGTACAGAACAGTGCCTTCAGAAACCAGAAAAAGACATTGCATCCCTCAGAACTGGAGTTACAGATGGTTGTGAGCTACCATGTGGTTGCTGAGAATTGAACCTGGTGCTCTGGAAGAACAGCCAGTGCTCTTAACAATTGAGCTATTTCTCCAGTCCCTTCGCCATATCTTTTGAGACAAGGTCTCTATCTGAACTTAGAACTCACTTTTTTGGCTAGACTAGCTAGCTAACTACCTAGCCCCTAAGATGTACACACACACACACACACACACACACACACCATTACATGCTGCCACATCTGACTTTTACTTTTACTTGAGTGTTGGGATCCAAACTCAGTTTCTCATCTTTTACAGAAAGCACTTTGCCTGTTGAGTCAGCTTCATGGCCCTGTAATTCTTTTTTTTTTTTTTTTTTTTTTT